CTCGTAGGATCTGACAGGTTACAATGCAGCGATTGCGATTGCGGACGTGGGAAATTGTGGTTAGTAAGCGTTAGTATGCAATTTAGGGTCTGATTGGTTACAACGCAGCGATTACGGTTGCGGTTGCGGGCGTTTGCGGATGCGGGAGATTGCGGTTTTAAGCGTTAGTAACAGATTTATACGACTGGTTCAACGGTTAAAAATTGTTGCGTTTGCGGGAGACTTATGACTGATTTATCATCAAATACAATAGCGGTTAAGTAATAAATTAGTAATATTTATATTTTATATAATTATTAAAATCATATTTTCATGATAAATATAAAATTTCTATTGAAAAATACACTATTAATTTTTAAAAAATTAAAGAAAATATTTTTTTGGAAATTTTATAATATAAATATTTCAGTATTTCAATTATTTTAATTTAAAAGTTTAATTAAATATTTTATTTTTTATATTTATATATTTTCTGAAAAAATAAAATTTTATCCTCCTGCAAACGCTAATTAGAACCATCTTTTGAATTTTAGAGATTCGGAACGAATTGAAGCGGTTTATAGTGTTTTCTGTGATTGTTGTAAAACGCTAACAACCGCTATTAACCGCAAAAGCTCTTTTACGGATGATGGCGGGAGAACCAGTCATGCTATTAATCACAAGACCTCTAACTTCCTCCGGTGGCTTGTAATAATGCCTAATCTGCCGTTGGATATCCTGCGCACGCAGCGCACCTTTGGCGCATCCTAGCCTCTTCCACGGGTTCGTGACCAACAGCTTCACTATCTGCCCTAGGTAACTGCCTTGTCTTGTACCCTAATTTTTCATTTGATCTATATTTTGGTATTACGTAACAGAAATGACTAAGTTTGATTTGTTGAAAAAAAAATGATTTGATTAGAATTAAATAACTAATAAATGATATACGTACATAGGCTGTTTATTAAATTGAGTAATCTTCGTTCCTTTTTGATTTTCTCAACATCTAACTTTGTTAATATTCTTCTTTCATTTCTTCAAACATATTTTTCCAACATCTAACTTTGTTGATTTTCTATTTCTAACTAACAAGATTCATTCAAGTGTCTAGTTCGTCGTATCTTTCAAAAGTAACTGCAGATTTGGGTCGTCTGACGTAATAAAAGACTTCTATCTATCCATAACCACTAATCACATCTTCTACCTAGTTATATTAAAAATATATATATTCTAAACGCGAGATTATATTAATACTAAATGATTCGATATATTGCTTGGCGCGACCAAACGAATTTTGACCAGCCTATAATTATAAGACATATCGAATAGAATCTGAGTATAGTTGAAATGTGAACAGTCATGAATCGTAGCACTAGTTATCGTATCAAAATGTACATCATCCACGCGTCGCAAAAGTTGTTTAACTTTCTAAGACCTAGAAGTAGTTAACTGTAACTAAACGAATATTTTTTTGTAAACTAACTAAACGAATATTTGAAGCGTGTAAAAACATTAAGATTGCTAATCATGAAACAAGCCTCCAAATCTAACTATATAATGTATATCATTTTGAGGGTTTGAATATCGTATGACGCGACTGTTTCATACGATCGATATATCCTATTCCTATCGATGACCAAATGTTAAAAATAGATATGACAAAATGACTATGCGTATATCTCGAGTCTAACATGGAGAAATAGAGAACAAGACAGAGCCAAGGTCAACTTGCCAGACGCAATCAACGGATTGTGTATGTGACCAAATCAATAGTCACGAACCGGTTGTATTCAAACCGGCAAGTCATCCTTGGCTCAATTCCACTCTCTACTCCTTCATGCAAGACCATCTGACACAACCAGAGACTCCCGTCGTCGTCTCTCGATCTAGAGCTGCTTAATTTAAATGTTTTACCTCTTTCTTTGACTCATGTGTTATGGTAAAGCCTGGTTGAGATGTATTGGTATTTATAGGCATTCAAATGCGATGGATTTTGTATATTATTATTTTATCCTCGAATCCATTTCCCATATGCATGGTTGGGTATTTTGACTAAAACCCTAATTCCTCAAGAATATAATCTAAAAGTTGGGATTAAAGAATATATCTAGAAGATGAGCTGACCAAATTTTTAAAAATTTCCACTTTCCGATTTATTTCGAATAGTTTTATATTCGTCCCACTACTTTATTAAAACATGTAATTAAGTATTACAATGAAATATATGTAGATGGTCGCACAAACCAATAGAAGATTTTCATTTTTGTGGATAAGTGGAATGTTTATGATTGCATGCGTGTATAAGTATAATATATAAAGCATTCTTCCACAAGAAGATTTACTTGTTCTAGTCTGTTAATTAACGTCAGCAAAAGGATTTAGAGAGAGCTTACAAGTTACATCAACAAGCACTCTAAGTCCACTAGAGGGTTTTCAGTTTATAGGAAGATTCCAAAATAAACCTTTTTAGTTATATATATATATATATATTTATATAATGTCAATCAGATGGTGGCGGGAAGTTTGAAGAAGCAAAATGGTCCATGTTTCTCCATATTGAAACCTTTTTTTTTTTATCCCAGTATCCGACCACAAAGCGTGATCGATTAGCTCACCGGGCCTAAGCCTATGCCATGACAGAATTTTTAAGCGTCCACTTAAGGGCCCCTGGTTACGCTAAGTGGTCTGGGGCGCCACACCAACTCCGCATGTAAATTATATGGTGACCGGGGTTCGAAGTCGGGTGACGGACACCTCAACCGAGGTTCCTTTACCACCAGGCTACGAAGCCCGGTTAGGAGCTACCTTTCTCTGCCATAGAATGGCAATTAATCGGAAAGAGCTTCATTGTAAAATCATTATATGTGGAGTTATTTATCAATATTGCATATGTAATAAAATTAGAGTTAGATAACATAATCGTGTAATTGGTGATTTGCCCAGTATTAAAAAAAAGTGGTGGTGGTTCAATATTAGTCTGTTTTATTTATGTGTTTTTTTCTGATAACATATAAAAATAATACTTTATATGGTTTGACGTCTAACAACTAGAGTATAACCTTTTTAAATTAATAATCTATAAATTAATATACATTTATTTTTTTTATAAAATAAAATAATTTTATAGTTCTAAAATGAGTTTTTATTATATTAGTATATCGATAAATTAATAATTTCTATAAACTAATAAAAATTGGTGTAATCTCAATATTATTAATTTATAGAGGTTTCACTGTATGTGTTATACTTAATATTGTTACCTAATACTATCAAAATATGTGGTCGACTTCTCCTAATTAGTAACTTTGTATCCTCGTGTTTTAGGTTAAACTAAGTTTAATCTTCAATACTTTTAAACTACATTAAAAAGAAAATATCTACAATAAGAGTTAAGTGATAGATAAAAGCTAACGCATTTTAAATTTATTTTAATTTGTAAATTCATCAACGTTGCAGAATAAGAAAGAAATCCAACTTATGGAATCAAACAACAAGACCTAGATGCCCAACCCTATATTATGCTGGCTTTTGAGGTAAGTTAAGAGACGGTACTGTACATAGCGAGGCATATGCGTACGTATCTGTCCTCTTCAGCAAATCTGATTTACTATTTGTTACCGTTATGTTGCTGTCAATTTATTTGCAAGTCTTTAAGAAAATTACATGTTTATTCTAACGGGTACCGTATCATACAGCTATATATTAAAACAAGTTGGAAAATAAGAATTTGGGATAACAACCTTCTGCCATTGCTATTTCTTCTCATGGATCCACGTTATTTGAATCACTGGATTTAAAAGTTTAAAACTTATAAGAGAATTGAAAACAGTACCGGCCCTAAGGGAAACATTACAAACAATCGCTTCCGACCCTCAAAAAATACTTGAAAAATTCAGCATTTTTTATAAGAAAATTATTATTATAATATATAAACGTTCTTATAAAAATGGTCAATTTTTAGAAAATTGTTTCTGGTCTTTTCTATGTCAAGACCGATACTGATTGGAAAGCTAGAAAGGCGATGGTTGTGGCTAAATTATTTTGGCTTTTGATTATAAATGAAGATCTCTCACATGGTTGTCCCCTTGAAAGCAACTTCTTAACTATCCTTGATTCACATCCGTACCCGTGTGTTTGTTAATCTAATCTTGATTTGGTAATTGTTGTATTTTTTCGAATTAATTAGTTTGTAAAACTAACTTTATCTCGGGTGTTTTAACATGGTGTGCTTGTACCCAACGGAATTCCCTATATGAATTAATACTTTATAGGTTTGATCAACTTATAAAGTATAGATTCGACATAACTCTTGTTATTGGACTTTTTAGGCTCATTGTTTAAGCGACATGTAGGGATACTTTTTCATTGTATATTTGAAGGATTTTTTATAAATTTATTTTTCGAAATGAAAAATAGTCATACAAAATATATAGGGCAATTCTCTAAAATAGACATTTTTAAAGTTTTTATCACAAAAATATACCTCAAAAATTAAAATGACCAAAATAACATTTTTTATTTTGAAAATTTTAAATTTTTTATTTTTTTTAAATTCGAAACCTTATCCCCAAAACCTCACTCCTCAACTCTAAACAAAAAAATCTAGAATTAGTTAACCCAAAGAGTATAAATATATATTTAATAAAATATTTAAGTACTATTTTGGTCATTTTAATTATTAAGGTCTATATTTGTGATAAAAACTTTTTAAAATCTATTCTAGTCATTTTCTCAAATATATACTTCACCTAATTATAAGAAAAAAATAAAATAGACAAATTATTCTCTTTTTTTTCTGGCTTTATATGAATGATATATATTCGCTCAACGTTCATATAATATCAATTACATGAAAAATGTATTACTGAGACTAAAAATAATGAGAGTTGGACAAAATGATTAATCTTTCGTACCTTTCAGGTACAGAGTAATTTGTATGAGTTATATAACTGAGAAAGTGCATATCACAAAACAATCAAAGATTACCCTTCAAGACTGATGACACACTACATCGTCCTTCATCATCTCTCTGTATTAGACTGTGACACCAACGCTATCGATTCACTATCATCTCCTGGAGTTTCGGTGGTAACTCCAATAGCTTCTTTCTTCAGCTTATGATTGTTATAAGCCGCTACACCAGCAATGGCTGCATGTGAAACACACAAAGCAAAGTTATGAGAGACGCAAAAACTCGTTGTTGGTATGGTGAGACGTTTCTTGACTTACCAATAGCGTAACCAAAAAGATTGATGACTGTGAGTTTTGTGTCGGCAAAGAGAAGAGCTGAGACCAAGACAACCACCCAGTCCTTGACAACGCCAGCAACTCGGATAGTGAGAGCACTCGTGTGAGAGATCACAAGGAAAACCGACAAGTTGAGAGCGAATGTACAGAGAGAGTTAAGTGTCAACACAACGAAATGGAAGTCCCATGTGTCATTACCCTCCATCTTCGACTTCTCTAGAAAGATCCACGGTAGAAACAAGCAAAGAGCACTACACAGAGATAAAATACACTTAAGGCTTTTACATAATGAGGGAGAATTGAAAGATGTGTTTTAACTTTACCTGCAGGGGCTCACATAGTACATAAGAGAGATTGGGTTTAGTTTAATTCCTTTCCTCTTAACAAGAATCTCCATGAAGATAAGACGAAGTGCTTCTCCAACGACACCACCCATTTGGTAAACTACACCGATCCAGTTGATGTTTAGTTCTCCATACGAGGCAACTAAAACACCGAAACTGATGATAGACATAATCAAAAGCATCCTGCAGCTCATCATTTCAAGTCCAGCAGCTACTCCAAGAACAAACACAGCAACAGGCACTGCAAGTATATGATTCAAGAATGTATAAGTATCCACCACATTCTAGCTCACTAAGATGTAAGTAGACACTTACTTATAGCCTTCAACATCTGGGCAAAAGAAACTGATATGTAGAGATAGGCAGTGTTGCCCAACCAGAGGGTCATTGCAAACATGGCACCTATTGGAATAACTGATGTAACATATCTGAGTACATAAAGCGAAAATGTTTATTACTAAACCAAAGATGGGAAGCGTGATGGGGTATTTTCAACTACTTTAAACTAGGTGATTTTCCCGTTCTCATGCACGGGTATGAATATTCATAAAAGTAAAATATTATAATAACTGATTGATATTTAGTTTTAGCTTTGAATAAATTTATATGTATAATTTATATTAATAAATATTATTTTATTCTAATTATACATATCACTATGGATCTATTATTGTCGGTTTAATTATTTTTTGGATCAATAGTCATTATGGTTATCAATTTGGTATATTGGATAATATCTATTTTTAGAATTCAGCTATAATATTTTTATTCTAAATATAATAAAACTTTGATTAATTTTCTTATTTTCATTTCGGTTGGTTATTGTCTTAGATATGTAAATATATTATAGTTAAATTATGTATAACTTAATATATATTGTGCTTACGATGAAATAAATAATAAACTGAAGTGTTTGATTCAAAATTACATAAATGAATATAATGATAATATTTTGAAGTCTCATGCATATATATAAATTCTACAAAAAAAAATTAAATTATAACTGGTAATTTTTGAATATTCATGAACATATATATTTTTATTATTTTGAATATATATTTTATGTTATTTAAAAATATATATTAATGGGGGTATTACTATTTTGTGAACTTTCCTTTTTAATAAAGTCATATTATATACATATATTTTTGTTTTAAAATTTGTTTTACAATTTTAGAAATATTTCCTTTTTATTATATATATTTTTTGGAAAAAGGTAAAAAGGAAACTAAATAAAAAATTAATAATAATCTTAAAATCTAACAATTCATTAAGGGTATCTATGTAATCAACCATCGCGAGAGTTAACGTGAGCGCGACACGTAGGAAACTGACTTCTCAAATAATATTATAGAGATTTCAAAATTGCTTACAAAGTCTTTTTCTCCTTACATTTCTAATGTCATTCCTTCCTCAACCTTGAAGATCTTCATTGAGAAATAAATAAACAGAGACCCAAAATCAGAATCTTGACACAAATAAATGAAGCTGATTGCAAGATTGGAAAGTACCTTGAGAACTTTGGTGAGAAGAAAGCACAAGACAGAGGAGAAGATCATATGGAGTAAAGTCAATCCAAGCGGATAAGGAAAGTTTATTTCTTTAGATGACAAAACCCACTGCAGAGGAGTCACAGAGACACAAGAAAATTACTTATGTAGAATTAATTAGACACTAAAAATATTGTTGATTTTATTAGTGAGTGACATAGAACTATCCCTGGACATTCAAGTATTCGATAGCCCTGGACAATCAAGTATTCGGTTCGGTTTCGATTCCGGTATATCGGATAAATCATTCCTATACTTAATACTTATGATATTTCGGTTGGTTTGGTTCCAGTTCCAAGTACCCATTTAATATGTGAATCAAACACAAATATACAATATATATTTGTTATTATGTTAATTTATATGATCTAGTGTTACGCGCTTGCTTATTCGTCATTCCAGCAAGAGTTCGACTCATTAAAGTATTATATTTTATTTACTGTGTTATATAAATACCGGATATATCTTATTATATAAATTTATAATATAAGAGAGTAGATAAAAAATAATGTGGTTTGGTGATAACAATGTTCTTCATGTCTAAACCCGAGTTAGAGTAGGCTTGATAGCATTTTACCTTATATCAAAAAAACTTAAATTTATTTTTTCGGATATTTGGGTATCCATTCGGTTCTTGGTTCGGTTTTGGTTCCGCTTCGGTTATTTTAGATATAGAAATATTGGAAAGACTCAGGTATGTAGTGTTTCGGTTTTGGGTATTTCGGTTCGATTCCGGTTCAATTTTTCGGTTCCGGCTTTTTTTGGCCTAGGGCTACATAGAACTGTATATATACACAAAGTTAAATCTATCTCAGCTGAAAACATAACTCTTTTTCTGACAACGGAAACATAACTACTATATTGTCTGTAATCAAGCATAACAGAGTCAATTATTCCGAGAACCAAACTAATAACTTATCTAAATCATATGACATATAATCTAAATCAACTAATCATTCTCAAGATACTAACAGCCTGTAATATCTGATTTGGCAAGATACACATTGCTCCTAAACTATTAGTCAAAGAGCATTGCAGCGAACGTCCCACACACGCAGCTCAATCTAGCGGATCGGATCACAATTTATAAAGAGCATAAAAAAAACTACGATGTGGAGAAGACAGATCGAGGTTGTGAGATTTGAGTTAAAACCTTATTGAAGAAGATTTGACCGCTAGAGAGAGCGATGTAGAGAAGAATGTAAGCATACGTCACGAACTCATCTCTCACAAAGCTTTTGCTCCGATCCGCCGCCATTGAATCCGATGGAATGTGATGATCTCTGATTACTGCTTTCTTTCGTCTTCTCTCCTTCATTCACACTGAAACCATTTCACTTTTCCTTCTTCACAAACAATAACGAGAGCTATGTTTAGGAAGTAAATTTACTTCATTAAGTGGGTCCCACTTTGACTAAGCGATGTTATGGGCTTTTTAGCCCATTACGTTTGGCCTTATAAAGCTTTTTTTAAAACTATTAAGGCCCATGAATGTTGTTCTTCCTCGCACACTTTTACATTTTGTTCTCTCTCAGTTTCATCAATGATGATTCATCTATTCTTGGATTTATGTACATTCAGAAAAGTAAAGAAAATGATTGGTTTTTTTTTATGGAAATATTATTTCTTTCCCTCGAGAATGTGAATATGATAATACGAATGAGAAGCTAAGGAACACACAATTTGCTCTAGTGGATTAGACACAACCCATCTCATCTTTGTCCGTTTCTCCTCAACCATTCTTCACCTCCAACTTCTCATCCATACTTATTTTCCAACTTGCTAAAAAAAAAAATTTACACTGTTACCCAACTAATGCATGACAAATGTTCAAACGTTTATCTAAAAATATAAAACGTTTGGATATATAACATAAGCTTTTCCTTCCAGTCACCCCTTCATCTCTCCCAAGACCTCTCCATTTCCATCATCGTGTGTGAGCCTCTGTGTTTATGACTATGTCTGAATTCTACAAAAGGTGACTGACTTAAGTTTGTTTTACTCTTTTGATAGAAAATGGAGATCACAAACGTTACCGAGTATGAAGCAATCGCAAAGGAGAAGTTGCCTAAGATGGTTTATGACTACTATGCGTCTGGTGCAGAGGATCAGTGGACTCTTCAAGAGAACAGAAACGCTTTCGCTAGGATCCTGTCAGTTTTTTCTTTTCTTTATATAATATATATATACTCTCTTTGTTATTGGTTTCACAAGAGATGTGATGTCTTGTGGAATGTTTTTGACAGCTTTCGGCCTCGGATTTTGATTGATGTGAGCAAGATTGATATGACAACAACCGTCTTGGGGTTCAAGATCTCCATGCCGATCATGGTTGCTCCTACCGCCATGCAGAAGATGGCTCACCCAGAAGGTAAAAGACATCTGCTATTTCCTGAAACATTTGTAGAGAGTAAAAGGTTTGTTTTAGTTTCCCTAAAGACATAGACTAAGGATAGTTCTAATGGAAAATAATACAGGGGAATATGCTACGGCTAGAGCTGCCTCTGCTGCTGGAACCATCATGGTATGTTATTATACTGTCACAATGTTTTTCATTCAAAGCAAAGACTTTGAATCTTTTAGGGTTCATAATCTACCAGCCATGCATAACCATGCCTCTGGTTTGAGTTATTTTCTTTTATGATGTTTTCAGACACTTTCTTCATGGGCTACTTCCAGCGTTGAAGAAGTTGCTTCCACAGGCCCAGGGATCCGATTCTTCCAGCTCTATGTAAATTATCTACTAGGCAGCTTGTTGTACACCCTGAAAAAACTTTGGCCACATTTGATGGTTCACACGTTATGTATATTGTTCTGAGTAGGTATACAAGAACAGGAAAGTGGTTGAGCAGCTAGTGAGAAGAGCCGAGAAGGCTGGGTTCAAAGCCATTGCTCTCACTGTAGACACCCCTAGGCTAGGTCGCAGAGAGTCTGATATCAAGAACAGGTAAAGCCACACCAACAGAGAAGTGATAAGAGTTGATTAGATTCGAACATGCAAACAGATAGCTAGAAACTGTAGAGTAGTAACAATGTGCGTTCTTATACTTCAGATTCACTTTGCCTCCAAACTTGACACTGAAGAACTTTGAAGGTCTTGACCTCGGTAAGATGGACGAGGTAAGCATCCATAAGATTTATCCAGTAATACAGGCAATGATCCACTATTATTTTCTTGAACTTCCTACGTTATAACCTGCAGGCCAATGACTCTGGCTTGGCTTCATATGTAGCTGGTCAAATTGACCGTACTTTATGCTGGAAGGTAAGAGAATACAACAAACCATATGTTAGCATAGCAAAACTGACTAGTTGGAAACAGAAACTTGATTCAGATTTCACTAACTTTCATGTATGCAAACAGGACGTCCAGTGGCTCCAGACAATCACCAGCATGCCGATTCTGGTCAAGGGTGTTCTTACCGGGGAGGATGGTGAGTTACAATCTAGCAAACAAATGTCTCCATCGCTTAAGTTTCATAAGCATCCTTGATGAGGTCAACTGTTATTACCCTCTTGCAGCAAGGATTGCGATTCAAGCTGGAGCAGCAGGGATCATTGTCTCAAACCACGGAGCTCGTCAGCTAGACTATGTACCAGCCACAATCTCAGCTCTTGAAGAGGTAAAGCACATTGTCCACTACAAACATAAATTTGTCTTCTCATGAAAGTGTGGTGTCCAACAGTTTCAGTTCTCTTCTCGTGTGTTCAGGTTGTCAAAGCGACACAAGGACGTGTACCTGTCTTCTTGGACGGTGGTGTTCGACGTGGAACTGATGTCTTCAAGGCACTTGCACTTGGAGCTTCCGGGATCTTCGTAAGCATCATAATTTTCCATTTTACAAGAAAGCTGCTCAAAACCATTGACACAGTTATAACACATTATTTTTGATTGACCTCAAATCTCAGATTGGTAGACCAGTGGTGTTCTCACTTGCTGCTGAAGGAGAAGCTGGAGTCAGAAAAGTGCTTCAAATGTTACGTGACGAGTTCGAGCTAACCATGGCGTTAAGTGGATGCAGGTCTCTCAGTGAGATCACTCGCAACCACATTGTCACTGAGTGGGACACTCCACGCCATTTGCCCAAGTTATAGAAAGGCAAACAAAAAAAGCAACAAACCAGAGAACAGCAACAACACAGAGCTAAGCAATGGATTAAACCTATTGATATTCTTCTGATTGATCACTTTGGCTTCTACACTGCTATTTATTTCAAAGGACTTGTTTCTCGCTGTATCCAAAACACAAAACAATGACAAGAGATTCCCTGTAATGCTATTTGCCTACTTATACCTTCAGTCTCATTCTTCTTCCTTATACAATAGATATAACATTAGTATTACCATCATCAAGAGTCAAAACAACAGTTGAATAGAAAGACTAAACAGAGCCAGAGAGGTGAAAAGAACGTGCCCTTCTGGGTTCTACCTACCATAGAAATGTCCAAACAAGATTGGGCTTGAATGTTATCATTAGGCTTATTGCTTTGTATCATTCCACTTTCATCCTCACTTGGATTTATATGTCCTTCAAAAAAAGAAAAAAAAAAAGAAAAACAATTGGCTTATGAATTACTATTACTTATTAAGAAGGATAATATAAAAGAAAATGTAAGGAACACACAAGTTGCTTGTGAATTAGACACACACTATCCATCTCATCTTTGTCCGTATCTCCTTATCCATTCTTCACCTTTAGAACCTCATCCAGATCAAGTTTTTCTATTGCCAATAATTTTCAACTGTCACAACACACAAAATACTTTAACTCTAAACCAGATATAAACGTTTGAGATATATATTATATAAAATTATATAAGGCTTCTTTGCCACTCACAAACCTTCATCTCTCTCCCGCGAGGCTCAGTTTGGAAAAATGGAGATTACAAACGTTACCGAGTATGAAGCGATTGCAAAGGAGAAGTTGCCTAAGATGGTATATGATTACTATGCCTCTGGTGCAGAGGACCAGTGGACTCTTCAAGAGAACAGAAACGCTTTCGCTAGGATCCTGTAAGCTTTCTTTTAAACTTATGTTTACGGTCTAGCTACAAGATAACACTTTATGTTATTGGTTTTACAAGAGATGTGAATTTGATATACATACCTTGGGATTTTAAATACAGCTTTAGGCCACGGATTCTGATCGATGTGAGCCAGATTGATATGACAACAACCATCTTGGGATTCAAGATCTCCATGCCGATCATGGTTGCTCCTACTGCCATGCAAAAGATGGCTCACCCGGAAGGTAAAGATGTCTGCTCTCTTGAAACATTCTGTAGAAAGACGTAACGTAGAGAGTGAGAACTAGTTTTAGTAGCTCGAGACAAAGACTAAAGGCTTAGTTCTAATAACTGTGATGGGAAATAATACAGGGGAATATGCTACGGCTAGAGCTGCGTCTGCAGCTGGAACTATCATGGTAAGTTATCACATCATTACGAAGAGTACTTAAAACATTTTCATCTTAAACTCTATGCATACTCATGTTTCTGGTTTTCGTTGTTCCATGATGATTTCAGACACTGTCGTCATGGGCTACTTCCAGTGTTGAAGAAGTTGCTTCCACAGGACCAGGGATTCGTTTTTTCCAGCTCTATGTAAGTAATCTTAATCGCTTGCTGTAAATCCAGATAAAACTGCTCGCACTTGATGGTTAACACGTTATGATTGTTCTGAATAGGTATACAAGAACAGGAAAGTGGTTGAGCAGCTCGTGAGAAGAGCCGAGAGGGCAGGGTTCAAAGCCATTGCTCTCACTGTAGACACCCCAAGGCTAGGCCGAAGAGAGTCTGATATCAAGAACAGGTAAAGCTAAGTCAGTTCAAAAGTCAAGAGCTAACTGTAATTTAATATGCAAATACATAGGCAAAAAGTATTAATTTCTGTGCGTTCTCCTGCTACAGATTCACTTTGCCTCCATACCTAACATTGAAGAACTTTGAGGGTCTTGACCTCGGAAAGATGGACGAGGTAAGTACCCATCAGATACCATCTAGCATTAGAGTCTGAACATGATTTCACAAGACAAGTCTTAAAGCAGACTTGTTATGTTTACGTTTCCACCTGCAGGCCAATGACTCTGGCTTGGCTTCATACGTTGCTGGCCAAATTGACCGTACCTTAAGCTGGAAGGTACGAGAGTACAATAGTTTAGAAGATAAACACAAAACCAAGTAGCTCGAAATTGATTTAGGACAGCTCTAACTTTCATTTACACAAACAGGATGTCCAGTGGCTCCAGACAATCACCAGCATGCCGATTCTTGTCAAGGGTGTTATTACAGGAGAGGATGGTGAGTTACCATCTCATAAACAAATGCCTTCTTCACTCAAGTTTAGTAAAAGTTCTTAAACAGATCAACTATACTTATCCTCGTGCAGCAAGGATAGCGGTTCAAGCTGGAGCCGCAGGAATCATTGTGTCAAACCATGGAGCTCGCCAGCTTGACTATGTCCCAGCAACAATCTCAGCCCTTGAAGAGGTATAAATGCCAAATGGTGTCCTCATATAAGTTGTTTTGGGTCAGCAACTTCAGTATTTTTTTCACCTCTGTTCAGGTTGTCAAAGCGACACAAGGACGAATCCCTGTCTTCTTGGATGGTGGTGTTCGTCGTGGCACTGATGTCTTCAAGGCACTTGCACTTGGAGCCTCAGGGATCTTTGTAAGCATATCATGTTTCCAAATTACCAGAAAGCTGCCTGAGAAACCACTGACAGTAATAACACTCTATTTTGTATCAGATTGGAAGACCAGTGGTGTTCTCACTTGCTGCTGAAGGAGAGGCTGGAGTCAGAAAGGTGCTTCAAATGCTACGTGATGAGTTCGAGCTAACCATGGCACTAAGTGGATGCAGGTCTCTCAAGGAAATCACCCGTAACCACATCACCACCGAATGGGACACTCCACGCCCTTCAGCCAGGTTATAGAGAGACCAAAACAACCAGAGAAGAGCAACAATACAGAACTTTGGTTTCTTCCATTCTTCTGATTGGTCACTTGGCTTTCTACTTTGCTATCTATCTCAAGACTTGTTTCTCCCTATATTGAATCATATACAATGCCTACAAATTCTGTAAAATACTATTTGGCTTCTTCTACCTACAGTCTATTCTTCTTGCTTTAAAACAGCTGAGACAAGTAACACTTTCAATTGCTAAGAAAGGAAACTTTGTAACAAACTAAAGTAAACTGCAACCTCCTCTTCAATTCATCATACATAACCTATAATCAAAATTCGAAAAACCGTTACTGTAGTGAAGTGGAGCTATATCTTTCAAGGTTAAAGCAAGATCAAGGAAACAGAAACCTAACCTTTGAGGTTTATAAGCTTTCTACTTTGCTATCTATTCCAAGACTGTTTCTCCCTATATTGAATCATATACAATGCCTAAAGATTCTGTAAAGTGCTACTTGGCTTCTTCTACCTACAGTTCTTCTTGCTTAAAACAACAGAGACAAGTCTTAACACTTTCAATTGCTAAGAAAATAAAATTTGAGATTTTAGCAAACAAAAGTAAACTGCAACCTCTTCTTCAATTCATCATACATAACACATAATCAAATTTCTAGGTTTATAAGTTTTACAACACCTAACACATATCTCTCTCCTGAAACTTCATAAACCACGGATCAAACAGAGACAAATACTGAACCATGAAACTATCTATCATCACCTCCTATGTGTAGATCAAATTCATCGTAAACACATATACTAAGATCCATGAATATATACCAGTTTCTTCTGATACTCAAAGATCAAAAATGAACATGAACATACCAATAAGCTAAGAGTGTTGATAGTTATCACAAACTGATAACTATAAAACTATGGAAGGAGAGAATCACATTGAGCAAAGTGACATTTACAACCACATACGCACTACAGAAACACATACACGAGTTTATTAAATTTCAAATTTAGAACGGCCAGATGTCAGATCCACCGGGCTTCTCCACCAGAATCCGATTATACTCCGGCCTCGCCGTCTGCAAAAAAAAAAATTAATAAAAACTCAAATCAAAATGATACGGATTCGAATTCCGCTACGATCTATAAGCGAATCTCACCAGATCCTTGAAGATGACGTAGGCGATAATGAAGAACAGCACAAACAGGATCTCAAACTCAGCTAATCGGAACAGAGAAAACACTGAGTCAACGAATCGAGTCAGATAGGAGTCATCCCTCCTCATCCCGACTCGATTAGTTCCAGCACGCCGGCCGATCATCCTTTATTAAATTCTTTCCCGCCGGATTTGATCACGGATCACCGTCGCTTCTCGTTTGTTATCCGTCGACGAAATAAAAGAAAAAAAAAATTGTTTTTACTAAGGTGATCTTGGGCCAAAGAAGTTCTAATGGGCTTTATATCACTAAAGCCTTTTATAGTTTATAGAGAACCCCAAATAATAGATGATCAAAGAAACGACAAGTTGTTCACCAAGATATAGCAAAAACAACAGGTTTGTTTGAAACGCTAACGTTGCTTGGGTCGAATTTACAAACGCTCGTGTATTGAGGCAGTTATTAATAAGAGTGGAATATAAACACGACAAGGTGCTCATCAAGTTATAGAAAGGATGGCAAGTTTTATAGTGTGGAACATAAAAACGGCAAGGCTATGCAGCGTGATTCACAACAGACGGCATGTTTTTAGTTTTACGTTTTACGTTTTTAGTTGGGTGGAGTGTGTTTCATTTGTTGCAGGTCTGTGCAAGAGGATCGTTATATGCAAGGCATATCTAAATCAGAACAGCCTTTGATTTGGTATTTTTTTATCAGGAAATAGTATAATCAGATCACTTTTAATATTTACTCAAATCATATATTAATCTCTTTATATTAACTACATGATTATTTGTAGTCTCTTTATCTTTTTTTTTTTTTTTTTGAAAGCTGGTGTGTATTAATCTCTTTAGTTATGTCATATGATTATGTTTGATTGTACTCTCATAGTCAAATAATTCACAAATCACAACATTCTTATAGTCCATATTTTTTGTATTGTCAGAAGTGGAATATAAAGCTAGCAACTATGTATTAATTAAGATGTTGAATTGTTCAGAAGAGTGGATGAGATAGCATGTTCTTTGTGTGTGTGTTTTTTTTTTTTTGAGAATTATGTTCTTTGTGTTGAACCAAGTTTTTCACTTCATTATGTCTAGAACCGGCTCTTTTAGTTTGGCAGCCTTTTCTCTTCTCTCTTCGTTCTCTTGACCTTATCAGGTTTTCATGAGTCTCAGTATAAAACTCGAAAGTGGGTCATAAGAAGCGTCGTTTTCATGTCATTAAAGAGATGTGGAGAGAATGTTGAAGAGAGAAGATAAGTTGTTCTGCTTCTTCTTAATCAGTTAATGCCCTATGAGACTGGGTTTGTGGTATGTTGACGGTCACGTGGTTATGTCCTTCTCGGCCTCGAAACCTCTAATACGTCCAGAGGTTCTTGCGCGTGGCTGATTGTGACATATTATCTCTTTCCGGGAATATGATGATTATGATTGAAAGCTATTTGATTTAAGTTCGTTAAATCCAAAAAGAATATGGATAAAAAAGGAGAGAATTGGTCTACTTTATCTATTTTGTGGCTTTCAATCATGTGCTAAGTTTTCATATCATCATCTTAAGCGGTCCATGGTGGCTTGCCTCCAGACAGATGTTTTTGTCACGTTATTGCAAAATATGGAAACTAGTTAACAATATCTATTTGTAATAGCATGCGACCTATACTTGAAACGTCGTGGATAAAATTTTGAAACATAGCATATCTTGTGTGTATCCAAGTTTAAATCACATTCATATATATATATACATCCTGGGCCAAAGCCTTCAATTATATGAATCCTATTAAGGGTCTGACTGGTTGAAACGCGGCGGTTGCGATTGCGGTTGCGGGAGTTTGCGGATGTGGGTGGTTGCGGTTTCTAGTGTTATTAGGCGATTTGTACGACTGGTACAGCGATTAAAAACTGGTGCGTTTGCGGGACATTTATGACTGGTTGATTATGAGATACTACAGCGGTTCAATAATAAATTTCCAATATTAACAAATTATAACATTATAAAAATAGCAAAACATACTGTTATGATAAAAAAATAATAACTATTAATATATTATAAGTAATAACNATATTTATATATTTATATATTTATATATTTATATATTTATATATTTATATATTTATATATTTATATATTTATATATTTATATATTTATATATTTATATATTTATATATTTATATATTTATATATTTATATATTTATATATTTATATATTTATATATTTATATATTTAATATTGAAAAATATAGTGAAAATTCTTGATTTGAAGTTTTTATAAATAGATTATGATATTTTTAGTGAATTTAAATTAAAAGATAAAAGGTAGATATAGTTTTAGTTATATTATTTTTATTTTTATATTTTAATTTAAATTTTTAAAAATAGTTTTTTACCCACCCGCAATCGCCCGCAAACGCAAACGCTAGCTGAAACCAACTTTTGATTTTAAGAGGTTGGGAGCGGTTTGAAGCGATTTGTAGTGGTTTTTTTGATTGTTGCAAAACGCTAGCAACCGCCATCAACCGCAAAAGCTGCGTTTGCGGGTGGTAGCGGGGAAACCAGTCGGACCCTAAGAAGTTGGATATTCTTGTCACTTGAGACATTTATTGTGAGACTGATCGTAATACTCTCGTAATATTATAACAACGTAACTATTCCTAATAAAAAAGGATAATGGGTAACATCTTAATCAGCATATGTGTGATATTCACGTGAACATTCAAAGAATATGACGGATGTTAAAAGTGAGATGTTGATATAATATAATGCATAAAACAATTTTTTGTTTTTGAATTTTTTTACCATAGTATTCTGATATTATTAAATAACATCATAAATAGTAGTATATTAAAGGAAAAACATGATTGGCCTATCTTAACGCTGAAAGGTCGACCTCCACACAACACAAAATCCCTCAGCTGTTTAATGCTGTGTTGGTTTCTCTCTAGGGAGCTTTACACTGTATATATAAATAAATCTAATATATTCTGCATCAACTACGTATTCAAATGAATCGCTTAGTTTATAAAGAAGGTTGATGATATCCAAGTAAAATTCGTATCTATATTATTGGATCCTACATGACACTAATATATGGTAGTTACTAGTTCGTTAGGATAGTGTGTGTGTATATATATAAAGTATATGCTATTTTTTTGGAAGTATAGTAGTGTGGCGTGCATTATTGGCGTTTATCTTTTATAGAATATGTGAGGCACGATTATAGTGGTATACATCATCTAGTTCGTCACTCTCCCCAATTTTCACATTTAAAAAATAAGACAATTAAATGTGAATTTTATTTTGTATTTGCTGCAATAATAAATTTATCGCTTTATACACATCAACGATCTTAGAGCATTTGTATTTAGAAGATTTTCCTTCGAGTCTGTCATATTGAAGTGAAAAAAGGAGAACAAAAGAGATGATAAAGTGAAGAGTTGAAAACTATGCAAAAGATGTGAGAAACTCAAATGCGAAATGTTACTTGGCATATGACCCTATTTATATTTATTTAGTTTTATTTGTTTATACAGCAAAATCATATGCATATTAAATTGATATTCTTTGGAGTAAATATACCTTTAATGTGTTCTTAGAGCAATTACATTGGTAAAAACTCTTTTGAGTATCTCAGACAAAAGAAAATATTAATATTTTAAGCTGTTTTTGTTACTAACTAATTTTAATCTGAAAAAAAAATAAACCAGCAGACAGAAGACAAATGTAATGGGTTCTCATGAGTTTTTTGAAGTATCTCATTGAGAATCCTTTCTCATTCTTTCGCTTCCTTTTTATTTTTGTTGTTTTTATTATGAGAATCCTTTTTAATATACTCCCAATGAAAATGCTCTTTCTCATTCTTTCAAGTAACTCTCTGTTTTATTTATATTCTTTTGTTGATATCTAATTTATTATTTATTACTCCCTCTGTAAAAAAATTACTTAACATTCTAGAAAAAATATTTGTTTCAGAAAAGTGTATTTTTTTATATTTTCAATGTATAATTTAGTGAAAACTGTAGATTTCAAAAAAAAAATAATTGTGTTTCTTAAAATTATACTCCCTCTGTTCCTAAAAGATTTATATTCTAGTTTTTGTACACTTTTTAATAAAACACAATAAATTTTCATAATTTTTTGTATTTATCTTCTTTCTATAATTTTAAACCAATCAAAAATCAATTAGTGCAATTAAGTTTTTTGAAATTTACAATTATTTAATAAAACATACATTGAAAATGTAAAAAATGGATCTTTTAGAAACATACTCCCTCTGTTTTATTATAAGTGTCACTCTACAGCGGTGCACACGGATTAAGGAAACAATTAATTTTACATATTTCCTATATAAAAACACAGTTACCTATACACCTAACCATATTTTAACCAATAGAAAAACTAATTACATAATAAAATTAATAAATTTTGCTTTGAAAACCGAAAACGACACTTATTTTGTAGCGCAAAAAATTCTCTACAACGACACTTAATATGAAACGGAGGGAGTATTTTTTTCTAGAATATGTATCTTTAAGGAACGGAGAGAGTATTGATTAAAAATATAGGGAATTGTTATCTATAATATATAATGCATTGGTAATCATAATTTTATGTTTTTTTAATATGTGTAAAAGAACTAAAACATTTAACTTTTTGGAATAGAGTACTTTTTTGTTACTGAGTCTTAATATTATTTATTATTTTGGTCGATGAGAAACGGAATAGTAAGAAACATGAAATAACTTGTTTTTTTGTCATACACTCGTTGGACTTTCGAATTTGAGGAGTTCAAATTTAGAAAATGACTATCTTAATAGGTACGTTTGAGATAGTATCTACTAGTGATAAATATCTTTAGATGAAAATAAGAGTTTGAACTTTTGATAAAAATTATAAGGTGCACAATCAGTGGCGGATCCATCAACATGTATTAGGGGGCACAACAAAAAACTAAAAACAAGTTGAATTGGAAGAACTTTTCATATTTATTCACTAAATTAGGAATAATTTATCAAAATTAACATATACTCTCTATGTTTCAATATGTATCATGTTTTAACGTTTTTATATTTATTAAAAAAAATTATTAAGTTTAAGTTATTAATATACTATTTTTTTAATTAATCATTCTCAGTAACTTTTAACTAATAGAATTTTAAGAAATATAATTATATTTTTGGAAATTTACAATTTACCAAATAAGTACTTTAAAAACATAAAA